CGGGTGTCTAGGGATTATCAACGTCAGGAACACGGTATGCCGTTGAAAGGAGACATCGGGGGGGAGATTCAGGGGGATGACGAACACGTGCCAACATGTGTATGGTGCAGCCATCATGCCATATGGATTGAACCCATCTGTTGCCAGCGCAACACGTACATTACGAGCCTCCTCTGCTTTGAGAGGATGCCGTGAATTGAAGTACTTCCATGCATCAGCATCGGATGGATGTACCATCTTCTTAGGATTGTACCGTGTGCCGTTTTTGTGCCGTGTCATCTATTTCGCGGATTCCTCGGTCATGAATAGCCGTTGGAGCCTCGGCAGGAACGAAAGGTGTCGTAGGACTCTCATGGGGATCTTAAGCTGCCTCTTCTGGCCATCGCCTGAGTCTACCTCCACGTACCTAGAGGATTTACACTTCGGGCAGTACTTTGCATCCGCGTGTTCTTTCCTAAATAGGACGCACCCCTTCGGACACATATGTATCTTGTCATACGGCATCTTAAGTGCAAGAAGGAGCTTCTCTGACTCGTACAAGTTCTTCGGCATAATGTGTGTCTTCGGTAGCATATCGCTCCACACGGCCACCATCTTGTCGAAGCCTTCTCGACTTAGGTTTAACTCGACCTTCAACCCCATTACACGACCAATGGCATCCAGCCGAGAAACATTAGTATGATCGTGAAGGGGTCTTTGTGCCGAGTCCAACATCAGGTAGAAGGCATCTGCGGCAGCCTCCATCTCCTCCCTATCACGTCCTTCAGCGAACTGAGCTTAGTGCATGTCATCCAGCATGTCTGCTACCCCGGCATCATCATCGAAAGCCTCGAGCCGTGGTCTCACCACCTCCTCCCTGATACGATCGGCTTCACCATGGTGGATCCACCGGTGGTAACCCGGAGTAAATCCAAACTTCACAATATGTTTACCCATGGTTAACCTATCTTTCCTTCTTCTGTTGTCACAACCGCTGCATGGACAAACCACTAGAGAATGGCCTCCAGCACTCTCGCCAAATGCATGCTGTAAGAATTATTCGACCTTGACTATAAACAGCAAGTCGTAATCGTGCTCGTCTCTCCGGAGCGTGTACATCCACTCACGGTCCTCCATCCTTTAACAGACGTATCAGCACATATGAGTCACCATCAATTGCATCTACGCGGTGTCCCTACTCTCTAATAGGTGAGGATAGGTCCTAATCCCACCCGTGGATCCGTAGATGAGGTTAGTTTCCATGCTCCGCTCCTATCCGGGATGGAATTTCGACAGCACCACCCCGCTGTTCTCCCGATACACGTCCTGCAAGGGAGAGTGTGTATCCGGAGAACAACAGGGGGGTGATGCCGAAACACTGTCTCGGACCGGAGCAGACCATGGAAACTAACCCATCTACGCATCCGCGGGCTGTCCAAAAAATGTGGACAATCCGAAACAGAAACGCTCGTAGATATGCAAACACCTGCATAACTCCAACCATATCTCTTTCGGACGGGAGACACCTAACTAGGATCAGCGACCTAAGACCATGATACGGATAGAGGGGTTATACCTAGGGTGCCGGTGAGGTCAGGCTAGTGGGGCTGTGGCGAGTCGGTGCAGTGGCGCCGCGCCGCAGTGTAGGCAGACCCGCAACGCCGACGAAGACAATCGAGGTCACCAAGGTCCCTCCGCCGGGGCCTCCTCCTGCATAAAAAGGCAATACATTAGTGACAATTGAAAGTTTCGGTAGAACCTCCCCTGCACGGGGAGGTTTCAAAAACCTGCAAAAAAGATTGGCACGAAGGCCAACATCCACAAACAACGGCTCGATGGCCGAAAACCACATACAACAACTATTACTACTAACAAGGGCTCGATGGCCGACATCCATTGCACGATTTGAATATAAAGGGAAGGGCGAACCTAGTGTGCTCGTCGACGGTGGGCGGAGTCGGGAGCGGGGCGCCGAGGGCACGGCACCGCCGCTAACGAGGCGTGGCCAGCGGCCAGGGTTCCTCCTCCCTTCTCCTCTCCACCGCAACGTTGACGAAGACAATCAGGGTCACTGAGGTCCCTCTACCGGGGCCTCCTCCTGCATAAAAAGGCAATACATTAGTGATAATTGAAAATTTTGGCAGAACCTCCCCTGCACGGGGAGGTTTCAAAAACCTGCAAAAAAAGATCGGCACGAAGGCCAACATCCACAAACAACGGCTCGATGGCCGAAAACCACATACAGCAACTATTACTACTAACAAGGGCTCGATGGCCAACATCCATTGCACGATTTGAATAGAAAGGGAAGGGCGAACCTGGTGTGCTCGTCGACGGTGGGCAGAGTCGGGAGCGGGGCGCCGAGGGCATGGCACCGCCGCTAACGAGGCGTGGACAGCGGTCAGGGCTCCTCCTCCCTTCTCCTCTCCACCTCCCTTCTCATTCTTCCTCCTCCCTTCTCCTATCCTCCCTCTCTTCTTCCTTCTTCCTCCTCCCTTCTCCCTTCTTCCTCCTCTTCTCCCCTTCCCTTCTCTCCCTCCTCCCCTGCTCCTCCCTCCTCCCTGCTCCGTGGCGGTGCGGCCGAGGGAAGGGATGATCGGGACATGGCCATTGTTGCCCGAAATGGCCGGCCCGGCACCACACCGACCCTCTGGGCGGCCGAGGCGAGGGGGCCGGGCCATGGAGTTGCTTGGCGGGCGGGGCGGTCGCTGAGCGAGGGCATGGTGAGGCGGAGGCGCGGTGGGGCTCATTGGCGGCGGCGGCGTCACCCGAGGGCGCGACAAAGGATTGGGGTGGGGGGCGCTGGGGTGGGGCGTGGGAGAGCGGCGGGGTGGCTAGGGGCGTGTGTTAGGGTTGGGCAGGGGGGGTTGGGCGGTGGGCTTTTAGTGCCCTTTTTTGAAAATCAACTTTGCCGAGTGCCCCTGGCAAGACACTCGCAATTTTTTAATTTTTAAAACTTATTTTGCTGAGTGTCAGCGCCAGGCACTCGGCAAATTTTTTTATTTTTGAAAATCAACTTTGCCAAGTGCCCCCATGGCACTTCGGCAAAATATTTTTTTATTTTGGGCCCAATTTTTTTTTCGGGGCCTTGTGATATTCAAACTCTATTTTAAATTTTAGGGCAATTTTGATTTTTTGATATATTTCATTAGTTTATTTAGTTTAAATGCAATTTTTGGGATATTTCAAATTTGAGCTGCGGTACATGGAATAATGGACTTTGGTCATCTAAAATTGATACTCATGATATTTAGGGTATGTTTAGGCCGTATCGACGCCAACTCACTGAAATCTCGAGCATCTTTTTGGCGTAACATGTCGATAACACGATGCCTACTTAGGAAATGTGATTTTAAATTATATAAAATATAATTTAAAATCAAAATCACGAAACTTGTCGAGGCGTCGTGTTATACATGTGGAGGTGGTAACAAATTGAGAAGGTTTCATGCAAGGTCCGTCGGATGTCACAACCTAAACATACCCTAAATATCATGAGTATCAATTTTTGGATGACCAAAGTCCATTATTCCATGTACCTGCAGTTCAAATTTGAAATATCCCAAAAAATTCAACAAAACGAAATAAACTAATGAAATATATCAAAAAAAGTTAAAATTGCCCCAAATTGTAAAATAGAGTTTGAAATACTGTCACAAGGCTCCAGACCATTTACCAACAATATAACAAGTTTAATAATTCAATAAGAAACAGAGGCACACTAATCAATGCCAAACTGGGGATCGAGGTCGCCCTTGTGTCAGGGGCGAAAGTCAGATCACCAGGATCCAAAGCCTGTTCGGTTTGGCTAGTTCATATCATTGCTGGTTCGTGAAGAAGTACTGCTGGCTGGTTTGTGTGAGAAAAAAATACTGTTCCGGCTGAAAATTTACGATCGTTTACGACAAGCCACAACCAAACAAACAGGCTGAGGTCGACGAACTCGACGACCGAAAGCCATCACCAGAATTCAGGAGGCTTGGACGCGTACAAACATATTGAACCAAACCCTTTAGGGCAGTCCTAATAAAAAAACTAATAGTCTCTATAACATAGGATACCACATCAAAAAAAATACTGCTTTCTAACCCATGTTTCTATGAGTAATAATTATTTTCTCTTTCTTTCTCCCAACTCTATCTTCTTTCTCCAATAGGAGTGCGACACGAGCTCCCTAGAAACTGGTACTTTCTCGCCAATGACGATTTCATGGTTTCTTGGTACATTGGGTCAAGAGTAGAGTAGACCTGATTTCTTCATGAGAAAAATCATTTCTATGATTTTTGCTCTCTTTCTTCATTAATTACGTTGCTATGTCAGCATTTTACCTACGTGATAAGTCATTTAATGAGAATAGAAACCATCATCAATATATCATTGGGAGTGTCCTTATTCTCGGCCGTTTCCTATAGATTTGAATCTAGGCCTTGTTTAGATTCCAAATTTTTTTTACTCTCTCCCCATCACATCAAATCTTTAGACACATGCATAGAGTATTAAATGTAGATAAAAAATAACTAATTACACAGTTTTATTGTAAATTACGAGACGAATCTTTTGAGCCTAGTTAGACCATAATTGAACAATAATTATCAAATACAAATAAAAATGTTACAGTACCGAATACTGATTCCTAGCCACGAACTAAACAAGGCCCTACGACATGAGCAGGGCATTTACTGGATGCATGAGCTGGCAAGAGGCTGCCAATAGCAATTTCTGGAGCTTAGTTAGATGCTTGAGAAAAGTGAACTCTTAGCTGTAAACCTACTTTGCTTTGACCTGTATTTGGCAGTGTTTAACCGACATATACATGTATATAAGGACACTTGCACCGGACCTATGCCTATTTAGAATAAGAATAAAGTCCTCTTAAGAATAAAGTCTTCTATACTTACTGGCATATTACTCTAGAAGTGATAATTTGATACGTAGGAGATAGCCTTGCGGCGCAAAAAGGGCTTTGCTTTATGACAGGAATTGGAATAAATAACTGCTGAGTGATGACTGATCCGCAGCAGCTAGACGACGAGACCCGAACCCTTGAACTTGTCCGCAGTGATCGCGTCAATGCGGCGCGTCATCTCCGGCGAAAGGTGGTTCACCCAGTCCCCCACGACGCCCTGCCGGAAGAAGGAGCTGTTGGGCACCACGCCGAACGAGAGCTCCGTCCTGCCACCCTTGGTCGCCGCCATGCCCCTCATGCGCTCGAACGAGCACAGCGCCACGACGGCGTCCACCACGCCGCCTTCCTCCTCCCCGGAGCTGAAGGGGAGGCCCACGAACTCCGCCAGCCTGCGGACGTGCGCTGCGGGATCCCTCTGCATCTCCTCGTACCTGAAGAAGAGCACCTTGTCGGGGTCCGCCCGGTGCGCGCCCCAGTAGCCGAGCACGTGGTCCCAGTACGGCCCGAACGGCGACAGGCCGGCGCAGAACAGCTCGGCGGCGTCCTCCAGGGGGAGGGGCTCGAGCCCGTCCTTGACCCTGAACTTGTTGGCGAAGTCCCACTGCGAGATCAGGTGGTCCTTGGGGTCGCGGCACACGTAGACGATCTTGCAGCCCGGCGTGGCGACGACGGATCTCGGCAGCGACACGAAGGGGACATGCGTGGCGAAGTGCCGAGGGTCCGGGAGTTTGTCCAGGTCCGGGAGCTTGTCCCCTGTGTAGAGCTGGTACTCGAAGAACTTGATGAGCTCATGGGGGCCCCAGCTGTTGAGAGGATGGCCGGCGGCACCGTCGTCGACGGGGTGCTCTCTCCGGTGCACGGTGGCGTACAGGAGCGATTTCATCCACGTGGTGCCGGACTTGGGCAGGGTGGCGACGATGATGTCCGAGGGGCGCGAGTTGAAGCACGCGTCGGCGACCAACCTCGGTCGTGGCGGTAGAATTTGTTGTTGGACAAGCCTTTGGAGCTCGGCAATGAGGAGACCAAGTTGGCAAAATGTTGGTAGAGTTCAGGGTTCGTTTCGCCTTCCGCATCGGCTTCTTGCTTGGGAAAGGTTTGGACAGAGGAAGAAGACATGGCGTCACAGATGGTGCGTGTTTCGGCATGCCATTTTATCTCAATATATGTACTAGTATCATATAAGATACGCAACTACGCCTTACTTTTCTAGAAGGCCTTACTTTTATAGAAGATACTCATCTCAGAAGATACTCATCTCCCTCGTTTTAGAAAGAATATAATTTTAGCACAGTATTAGGACAACCACAATGTGCATATAAAGATAGCATTAAGCATTTATTGCTGCTACACAGGAGGTGACATTAGCCATTACAGAGGTGACATTAGCCACTGCGGAGATATACCGTAGCTGTTGTGCATATGAAAAACACCTCAAGCTTAGGTTGCATCATAAGTTTCTCTCTCCTCTCCTCTCCTTTCTCTCTTGCTCACCGTCGGAATGTAAGGTCTTGTTTAGATTGCAAATTTTTACAACCTGGACACATTAGCACATTTCATTTGTATTTGACAAATTTTGTCCGATCATGGATTAACTAGGCTTAAAAGATCCATCTCGTGATTTACAACCAAACTATGTAATTAGTTATTTTTTTACATACATTTAATGCTCCATATACGCGTCCAAAAATTAATGTGATGGAGAGAGAGTAAAAAAACTTAGAATTTAGAGGTAATCTAAACAAGGCCTAAAGGTGCTTTTTACTGCACACGAGTCCATGCTTATTGTTGTGCCATTGTGGGCTTTGCTGGAGTTATATTCCAAAAAAGTGGGTCCCACGCTTAAGGTCAATACTCACATGCACATTGCACATGCCCTTATGTTTTAGTATTTTAAATTTGACCAATTATAGATAAAAAGGTATCAATATTTATGGTATCTTCGGCTGACGGTTTCTGCGGGTGATAAGTCGGCTGAAGCTAATTTATTGTGAGAGAAAAATATTGTACCATGACCGATAAGCCAGGCTGATAAGTTCAAACGAACAGAGCGATAACTAGATTAATTACGAAATGTATTTTCATAATAAAATGATTTGAAGCCATAAATATAAATACTTTTTATTAGAAACTTGATTAAACGTGTATCACTTTAGTTAGCACGTAATCTATAGTTGCGTTCTTTTTCGAGCCGAGGGAGTACTAGGATAGAGATAGAGATGAAAACGGAGGGAAGCAAACAGGAAAACTATTTTTCCATTCCTATTTCTATATATATATTAGCAAAAACATGGTTACTTTTAGAAAAATCAAGATACATGGACATACGAAAACGAACAAATATACGGACGTAGAGAGCCAACAAATTAAGTTAGGGTCACATGGACTAATAGTCTATGAGTATACATGTACGAAGTCACACGGTAATATACACGGGTGAAGATTGGTTCTATGATTCACTTGTATGTCATGTGTGTTAACAACTTAACACATTAATATACATAATTGGTGATTAGTATGTGTATTAGTATAGCACAAGGATATGTAATTGTTAAGAATATCCACACAGATTGAAAACTGAATGAAAATATGATAAATATGGGTTTACCCCGGACGAAAACAACATCCCGCAAAAACCACACCTAGTCTGGACACTCCCAGCTCCTTTGCCTACCAGTACATCGGTCGCCCACTATTGTGGCTACGGAAGAGAGGGCGTCGCAAGGCTGGATTTAGAGGAGAACTTTTCAATTGGAACCGTACAATATATAGGGCATGTTTGTTTCCTGCGGTACCTCCTAAAATTCTTATCACATTAAATATTTGGACACATGCATGGAGTATTAAATATAGACTAATTACGAAACTAATTGCACAACTTACGACTAATTTGCGAGACGAATCTTTTAAACCTAATTAGTCCAGGATTTGGCAACGTTGTGCTACAGTAACATGTGCTAATGACAGATTAATTAGGCTTAAAAATTGTCTCGCAAATTAGCCTCCATCTATGTAATTAGTTTTGTAATTAATCTATATTTAATGCTCCTTATTAGTATCTAAACATTCGATGTGACATGAATTTTAGAAGCGACTAAAGAACCCAACACCCCAATAAACTGAATGTTGTACCATGATGCAATGCAATAGGGGCAAGGACTAATATTATGACCCACTTGACATCCCACTTGAAGTTGTCCATTGCTTTGTGTATACTTTCCTAATATTATGACCCACTTGACTCAGTAACGGCTAAATATGCTGCTGATTACTTTTTTAGTTTTTTTTCTCCTCCCAAGGTGCTGGTGCGCTGGTAAATACTCCCTTCCTCTAAGAAAGAATGCAATTCTCACGTTTCGAAGAGTCAAACCGTTTGAACTTTGACTAAATTTATATATAAAAAGGTACAAACATTTATAATACAAAATAAGTATCATTAGATTAGCTATAGGATATATTTTTATAATAAATTTATTTAGGGACATTAAATGCTAACATTATTTACCGTAACTTGGTCAAACTTAAACTATATTGACCGACATGGATCCCATAATTATTCTTTCATGGACAGAGGGAGTAGTATTATATCAGTTGTTTTTCCAATCATCTCACACTCGCCATTTGGTTTGTTTCCTGAGAGCATCTCCATCAATTTCAAACAAACAACATGTAAAATCTATGGTTATTCTAGCTCCTAAATAGAGTAGGGAGTGAGTTTATTGTCTACCTCCAATAGTTTCCAAAAACTTGCCCCTATAAAAATTAAAAACAAAGTCACCAAACATTTTTCACTACCTTTAGTTGAAGTGTGAAAATCTATATTAATCTTACCTCGATCTAGACCCAACATGCATGGACCGGCTAGTATCTGTTCGGTAGCAGTGGCTGCAGCAGACATGAATAATAATAGGGGGAATTCCTCGTGTGTCATTAAAAAAGATCACAATGTTCTATGTGTCCCTGAAAAAAATTCAGCGGTCTTCAGCACCATTACTCCAATTTTTTTGTGTCCTCTATGCCACCGTCGTCAGTTTGGGCTCTAACGCCGTCAACTGCAGGTGTGAAAAGTCAAAAATACCCTTAAATCTAAATATGTCATTAAATGTTTTTGAGCATCTTAACGACTTCAAATGAAAAAACTCAAAATTAGAAAGTTGTATATCAAATCATATTTTTTTACGGAATTAAATGAAGATAATTTTATATGAAAATTATAGATCTCGACGAAATCTACAACTTTCTAGTTTTAAGTTTTTTCATTTGAAGTCGTTAAGATGCTAAAAAAATTAATGACATATTTAGACTTAATGGTATTTTCGACTTTTCACACCTGCAGTTTGACGGCGTTAGAGCCTAAACTGACGGCAGTGGTATGGAGGGCACAAAAAAGTTAGAGCAGTGATGCTAAAGACCGCTGAACTTTTCCAAAAGCACACATGATATTGCGATTTTTTTTAATAGCACACCAGGAATTCCCCCATAATACTAAGAAGGTACGCGCGCTTCACTGACGACAGTGGTATGGAGGGCACAAAAAAGTTGGAGCAGTGATGCTAAAGACCGCTGAACTTTTCCAGAAGCACACATGATATTGCAATTTTTTTTAATGGCACACCAGGAATTCCCCCATAATACTAAGAAGGTGCGCGCTTCGCTGCACGAGGAGGGAAAACGGGAAGAGAAAAGCAAAGACAAAAAATGGAAAGGAAAAAATAAAAACATAAAAAAGTGAACAGTCCTGAACAGTAGCCGGAGCGTGAGGAGCCGGGAATTCCCGGAGCGTTAAAAGAGTTGTTATTGTTATTGTTATGTTGAGGCCATGACAAGTTCATCAATAACATGTAGTATAAGTTCGAAGACCTAAATAGTATAAAATTTAAGGCTTAGTGATCCGGATGACAGTCATATAAATTTAGGGACATGAAAATTCAAGAGTTAGATACTCCGAGTTTAGGACCGCTTCACGAATGATCACGAGCTTTCAATTCATTGTGGATTTGTTGCCCGCTAGAAACGCGAGATGACAATCGTGGTGGAAGCCCAGTAGCCCACGCATGCCAATCCTACTCGCGAGGAACCTTTCCACAGCTTGTACTAGACTACCACTAGCAGACCTTTTCCCAGTTTTCTGTTACAGTTCCTGCCCTTGACGAATTGAAACACTCTCTGTCAGTCACAAGATGAGAGAGTTTGTGCATTTGAAAAAGAAGAACACAAGCTGGCGACGGCCTTGATATACAAGGCATCGATCAGTGAGGAGCAGCAGCTTCCCTCCTTTGCCTTTGTCTGGCGCAACTTCACCCCTTCCAGGTCGGGTTCTTTGCCTGGCTCCTACTGCAGAACCTGATACAGTGTACAGTGAACCTGGCGAAGAAAGGTGTGCTCACCGATGCAACCTGTGACTTGTGTAAGAGGAACAATGAAGATGTAGACCATATCATCCTGAGCTGTGACTTCGCCCGCCAATTTTGGGTGAGGATTGGATGGAAAATGGAAGAAATCTGAGCCTGTTTGGTTGGCTGGTTCGTTTCGTTGTTGGTTCGTGAAGAAGTACTGCTGGCTGGTTTATAGGAGAGAAAAATACTGTTCCGGCTACAAATTTACGATCGTTTACGACAAGCCACAGCCAAACGAACAGCCCAATAATCGGTGGAGAACCTATGGAGTGCCAACCCCCGGATGGGACCCATCCTAAGGTGATATCATCCCTAATCCTGCTTTGCTGCTGGGAACTTTAAAAACACCGACATGACATATGGTGTTTTGGGGCCTCCACCCAAGTGTAGATCGACTGGTGCCTTGCAAGACAATTGTAGCCCTCTGGCAGTGTTGTATCCCTAGAAAATCCTCTCTCCTCTCTAGCTTCTGGAGATCAATCGTATGGATGCAATCTATCTCTCTAACCCCCTCCGACATTGTAACTGGCACCAAACCGACTATTTAGGGTCATTTGGCCCTTCACCCACAAGACCCGTCTGGATTCTGTGGTAATATATTCAGGTGGGGACTCATTATCCCCCGTGTGTTTACTCAAAAAAGCAAAAATAAAAAACATGTTAGATAAAATCATAAATCCGATAAAATCTAATCTGTGTTTGGCCCTGTTCGCTTCTCTTATAATCCGTCTTTTTCAGCTTGTTTTTTCAGCCGGAACAGTGTTTTCTCTCACAACAAATCAGCCGGAACAGTGTTTCGGCTTATTTTTTCAACGAAGCGAACGGGGCCAAAGAGAACTAATAATTTATAATTATTTTTATAGAACAATTTGATGTATTTTAACACGACAATTAACAAATCACAAGAGGACAAATACAATTTTAACAAATCAGGCGATTGATAGATAGGATTTGTGATCATTAGAGAAAAACACAAACCCGTTAAACAAAACCATAAATACAATTATAATAACAATTTTTTAATATAGGAGAAGTGGACAAAAAATTTAAAAACCGAGTAGTCTACGTGCGGCTGTGCTAAACCGCCCAGATTCACACGGTCAGCACGTCGCCTGACGTAAGCCTAAATTTCAGGCACTTGACGTTTAAGAAAAGTGAAAAAAATTAAATCTGAAATATTGCAATGAATTCTCCCAAATTTAGGGCTGCTTCAGCAAAAGAAATTGGCACATGAGGCTGACAATGTAGTTAGTTCTCGCACCATTTGACGATAAGAGAGAGAGCCATAAAATGTGCAGGTCTCCATACATACATACTACCTGGAAACCACATCTTGCAGTAGTGCTAGTGCACGATCCACTAGCTACTCCACTACATCATTGAATGGCTCTAGTGATTGGAGGATAGAGGCCAGCACAAGCTCAGTGACACTATATAGCGAGCTGTCAGATCACAGGGCTGCGTGCCACAATTAGAGTTGGGTACCGTTTAGTTGGTAAATTTTTTAAGAAATGACATGGTAGTACTTTTGTTGTTATTTGACAATTAGTGTCCAATTATAGTTTAATTAGGTTTAAAAGATTCGTCTCGTGAATTTCGTCTAAACTGTGTAATTAGTTTTATTTTTTATTTATATTTAATGCTTCATGCGTCTAAAGATTTGATGTGACGGGAATCCTGAAAAATTTAGCGACACTGGTCGGACATTTCAGACCATGGCAGCATCAGAAATGGCAGGTCTTCTCCTCCTTTCGTTCACTGCTCTGCTGCTGAGAAGTTCCTCAGTTCGTAGCCAAGGACTGCAGATCGGATTCTACGACTCCTACTGTCCGGACGTCGAGGATACGTGAGGCCGACTGTCGAGCAGTACTACGACAGGGATGCCACCATCGCCCCAGGCTTGCTCAGGCTACCGGCCTGCGGTTGGCTGGTTCGTATTGTTGCTGGTTCGTGAAGAAGTACTGCTGTCTAGTTTGTGTGAGAGAAAAATACTGTTTCGGCTGGAAATTTACGATCGTTTACGAAAGCCACGGTCAATCGAACACTTCCATGACTGTTTTGTTCAGGCTAGTTATACATCTTTCCTTTAGGCTACCACTTTGAGTTTCATCCTGTGGTGATATATACTGTCACTCTTACTCAAGCTGCATATATAAACAGTTTGTAGGCTGGATGGACACTTTAATTTGAGTCTGACAGTTGTTCTGCTGACTTTGCATTTCAGGGGTGCGATGCATCAGTGTTGATCTCTGGAGCATCTTCAGAAAGGAGTGCACCACAGAATCTTGGGCTGAGGGGGTTTGAGGTGATAGATGACGCCAAGTCCCAGCTAGAAGCCGTATGCCCTGGGGTGGCCTCATGCGCTGATATACTTGCTCTCGCCGCGCGTGACGCCGTTGATCTGGTGAGAGTCAGTCCATGTTAACTGAGCGAGAGCGAGTCTTTTACATTTTGATTGAGGTCATGTTTTTCTTAACTGTTTTATTTACTGAGAACTGATGATGAATTTACTGTGTTCTTCTGTCTTTTCTTGGGGTAAATAAATCCGTAAATGTACTGATGTAAGACTGGTGGGCCAAGCTGGTCGGTGCCGCTGGGAAGAAGAGACGGAAGACTCTCGTCAGCTTCTGGCGCCAGTGCCTTGCCATCGCCTGCCGATCCTGTATCCGTTCAGAGGAAGAAATTCGCGGACCAGGAACTGTCAGACCACGACCTCGTCACATTGGTAGGTGCACACACGATCGGGCAGACGGACTGCCAGTTCTTCAGCTACCGGCTGTACAACTTCACGGCGACGGGCAACGCGGACCAGACCATCAGCCAGGCGTCGCTGGCGCAGCTCCGGGCGCTGTGCCCGCCACCCAGCGGCGCTCCGGCCGGGCGGCGGGTGGCGCTGGACGAGGGCAGCCCCGACGCGTTCGACGTGAGCTTCTTCAAGAACGTCCGCGACGGCGGCGCCGTGCTGGAGTCGGACCAGCGGCTGTGGAGCGACGCCGCCACGCAGGGCGTCGTGCAGAAGTACGCCGGCAACGTCCGGGGATTCGGCCTCAGGTTCGGGTACGAGTTCCCCAAGGCCATGGTGAGGATGAGCAGCATCGGGGTGAAGACCGGCGGGCAGGGCGAGATCAGGAGGAGGTGCTCCAGGATCAACTGATGAGCGAGCGAGATCAGGCTCCTCCGGTCCTCCCTGCAGCTTGGGATTGGGACGCGGACGCGCGCGGCGGTTTGGCTTTTACCAATGGATCGGAGTTCATGTGCGAATTAACACCATCGAGTAGCACGGTGTAAGAAGCAGCTGTACGTTTCGTCCAAGAACAGATGCATTTTTTGGTGGTATACATCAATTATCAATCGGAACGCATTATGTGCATTTGTGTCTTTCTTTTTCACTGTGTTTCCATGACCTGAAAGCGTGCAAGTAGTTGAAGTAACACGCGACGCGTTTCTCATTGATTGCCCACGTATTGGCACCGTTAGGCTCGCTGAAAAAACCGAAAACGCTGATATGGCTGATTTGTTGTGAGAGAAAAATACTGTTTCGACTGAAAAAAACAAACTGAAAAAGACGAATTATAAGAGAAGCGAACAGGACCAATGGTAACGAAAGGTTATTATATTAGGCCAAAAAGGTCTATTTTTAGGCGTCGTTTGCAATGACTTCCAACTTATTTGGAACTTAAAGGCTGTGTTGTTGTCGTTGTTGTTGTTTGCAGCGACTCCAAGTGGTTCTGCTTTCTCGCTAAAGGGCACAGAGGAGCCGGAGTCCGTGAAGAAAAAAAAAGGGAATTGCTATATTTTCAGGTGCCTGAAATATGGTTTCTTTTCAGGCGACACATAACAGCTATTAGATTAACATCTGACGTCCAGAATTTGTGAGTGCTTCCTGTACACAAGCAGTTATAGCAAATCCGAAAAGAGACCCGGTAGATAGATCTGTTCATTAACGGGCCCGCAAGAAACCCCGTTAAGCATTTGAAGTTCAACCGGTGCATAAACATGGGCCAACGTTGTCAAATTGAATTGGGCTTTCAAGATGGCCCGATAGCATAGAGAAAGCAGCAAATCTGCACCCCTGTATAACCCTGCTACAAGAAAGAACAGGTGAAGATAGACAAACCACAGAAAGAAAGAGACAAGAAAAGATCGAGAAACCACAAAACAAAGAGGTCAAATAGGAGATGGAGAATGGTGAGGCAGAAAAGGATGTGCCAAATGAAAAGGTACTTACATGTACAATTTGGTCTTCTCTTGAGTTCATCTCCATGTCCTTGTCTGCATCTTGATGGAAAGCCAACAATTTGTATTGAGTGCATCACCATTTTCTCAATTTTCATCACATTTCTGATGTTTTGTGGAGAACACTATTACCTGGTCCTGCAATTGAACTATAGTGGGATTAGTATTTGATGATTTGTTGAGGACACACTCAAGTTTACATAGAAGACATTTTATAAACTACATACAAATGAAGGCATAATCAGTTGTACTCGATCAACAATGCACCATCTATACAATGTCAAAAAAATTCAAAGAATACGTAAGAAAAAATTGCACATTTATATTAATGCAACTATTACTTCTTTATAATGCAATTGTATTGTATTTGTATATGCAATTTTAAATTATCATGCACAAACAATTTCCATGATTAACAAGAGAACCCAAGAACACACGAGTTTCAGCTTGTATATAGACCAAAGTTTTATAGATGCACATGAGTTTCGGTTTTAGGTAATTTCTGAAACCGAAAACACACCAAATGAAAACACTATTCGCAATAGCTGAATCTCTAAAACTGAAAAACGCTAAAAATGAATGAAACTTGACACTCATACGAGATAGCCAATGCTTTCTCGAACTAAACTGAATTAAATTGAACTTGATTTGCCCGCCAGAGAGGACATGTTAATGCCAATTATACTCACGAGGCAAATATTGCATATGCTCGAACAACAATTGCGGTACTCGATAATTGTAATTTACATTATTGCTGATTGCAATTAATTAACTTCAGTTTTTTTTCATGAACAGGAGCAATTAGCGAGAAACAAGAGCAATGTATATACCTCCTTTTATCAATGTTATATGCTATATGAGATGGAAATAAAATCAACTCTCATGAAAGTAACTTTTATTTTTTACACAAATTAGACATCAACATCTTGCATTTGAGAACTTGTAATGAGTCGATGTAGTGTGAAATAGAACAAAACTATATGTCTATTCAACTATTGTTGTGCCGTCAAGATTAATTGTTTGTGGTTGGAACTAAAAACGGAATCCACAAAAATCTGCCATCAGGTGCTTCTAGTAGTGCCATTAGACGCATCTATCTAAATGATAGGAACAATCGAGCAAAGCAAACCGAAATTAGCGAGCGGAACTAAAAGAGTAACCAGATGAGGAACCACAATGCGTAAAAAAGGTCACCAAAATAGAATCGACAAATGCTAAGTTGCTAACCAACATTCCAAGACCTACTAGCGCAGCTAGCTTGCTCATCCCTACGGTACACCACACACATGGGAAGATGCGAACCTAAACACCAATCTCTAGCTCTATTCCCTCCTAACGCTAGAGAATTAAACCAATCGAGCAAATCGAACCCACATTAGAAAAGGAGATCTGATATAGATGAAGAAGACATATGTTCAAAGAGAGAGCAACCACACACCAGACGGCGTCCTCAGAGCTACTCTGCGAGAGCTCCAACAACTTGCATGAAATCGCCCTGGTATCCTGTCCTTGCTACGGAGCCACAGAGGAACTCTGTTTGACAAGGATGTGTGGTTCGAGAAGGTGAGCAGGTGTCTTTGTTGTCTGTGCTGGCACAAAAACACAATAAATAGATTACAATTTAGCTATAGTATGACAAAGACAAAAAACTGAAATATGTTAACACAAATCATAAATAACAATTTTTTTTCTATAGAAAACAAGGACAAAAATATTTTCTATGTTGGCACAAACCACAATAAACATATTACAATTTTTATCTAAAGGAGGACAAAGACAAATAACTAAAATGTGTTGCACATATCACAAAAAATAATTCTTTTCTATGAAATGACAAGGACAAAAGTGTTCTCTGTGCTAGCACAAATGACAATCAACAATTAACAAAACTCTGAACCATGTTGCAACAAAAACAAATCACAAATAACAATTTTTTTCTATAGCAAGACAATGACAAATCTATTTTATCTGTAAAGGGCGTACCCAGTGCAGAGAGCTCCCGCTCTATGCGGGGTCTGAGGAAGGGTGTCAGTGGCAAGCCTTACCCTCGCCTGTGCAATGCGAGGAGACCGCGACTCGAACCCGGGACCTTCCGGTCACAGGCGGTAAGACTCTACCGCTTGCACCAGGCCCGCCCTTCACAAATCTATTTTATCTGTGTCAGCACAAATCATAAATAACATTTTTTTTCTATAGAAGGACAAGGACAAAATTGTTGTCTGATAGATGGAAGCATCAATCAACCGAAGAAATGCTATGTTCAAACTACATTCAACCAATGGATATAACAGAGTCAAACATCTATTTTTCTATGGTGGGTGAATCTTCATACTTGAAACATTCACGGCAAAATTTGTTCACAACAAATGTCTCTCGCAACTCACTGCGTATACATATCCTACATCGCAAACATCTCGAGATGCAAAAAAAACACCCCCTACAAGTACCAGGTCTGCTGGTCTTGCATTCCTTTGATGTGCAATCATAAACTAGTTTGCATCCGAGTTTGTGATATGGCAAATATTATGTAGACAAACGAATAAGATTTGCTATATGTATTGAACAATTGGGATAATAACAAGTCAGCTGGAGATTGAGAACAATCTCTCCCGCTCCCTAGTTCTCACTCTCATGGTAACCTCCTGACACCGAGCACGACGTCACGTCCTCGCCGCCAGGCGCCTCAGCCACGCCCTCCCACATCCCACTCATACTACCTACTCCAAAACAGCGGTTCCAACACAGAACTATTTAGAACTTGAAAGGCAGTGTTGTTATCAGGCAGGAGAACCTGGATGATGATGTACACCAGCAGCACGATGAGGCAGGTGATTAGGTGAACAGGAAGGAGAATGTGAAGGTTAAGTCATAGCCCCTTTTGACAGCCCAGAAGGTGAACCCCACAACAAAGCAGTTGTGAGCATGGTACCTTGTAGAACCACTGTGCCAGTTGACATAAGTGTGCAATTTATTACTTATAAATGTGAAATCAAGAAATGGATACTAAACACAGCTTTCTTGTATAGTGTATGCGTATATGCAACACACAATTAAAAGATGTGAGCTCCTACTATTCCACTACAACAGCCACAAGACAACTCAGCTATCCAAAACTATAGGAGGATGAGGCTATACACAAGTAGTACAGGGTAAAACAAAAATTCTTCATCAATGTCATTGTTAGTGGAGGGACCGAGCTCAATTAGGCATGATGGCTACTGCAGCTTAAGCAAAGAATGTGCATCAATTGGGATTTAGAGGCAAGCAAACCGTGGTAACACTGACACACCTGTGCCTCCTCCACACACATACACACAAACACACAAGCAAATAAACAAACAAAGTACAACGTAAAAGCACTCAACTGGTCTACGTTTACCGGCTCCATAACCGGCATTCCACAAAGAAAGCTTCACAAAATACAAAGTACAATCCGGAGCCACCTCCGATGAAACTAAAAAAAAGGGCGTACCCAGTGCAGAGAGCTTCCGCTCTGTCCGATGAAACTAACTATAGCTAAATTATATGTTATGCGGTCCATATATGCATTACTTATTGAATACGATGTGTACCTAGAGGTTACATTGCACAACAGAATCTGCAATCTATATATGCTGGTCTGCCTCTTTTCCTTTTATCAAAGGCTAACATGCATCACATTTAAAATTCACATCACAATTTAGAGTGGCTAAATTAGCAGCCTCAGCCATGAGATGTGGAACCTACTACCAAAAAAGCTGCAGGCTCCAGCTTCAAAGTCATAAAAGAACAAGAACACTGTATTGTTTCGTGTTTCTGTGATGTCAACACAGATTGATGGTGTCTTGTCCTAACCTTTTTTCTGAAATGTGTGTCAGACGATGCAGCGTTTTAATCTTAGATGTGCTTGAGCCGTGAGTCTGTGACCGTATCACAAGATGGTTTCGATCTCAGCTAATCAATAACAAATTCAGAAACTAGGAAGAATATACAGTAACTCCAATCTTATTCAGACTATGGTTCACAGTAACATGCAGAACATGGTAACATATAGGGTACACATTCACACTTAACTGAAGATTCAGAAATTAACAGATAGGATAACAGATGACCTACAGACTACCTGGCTGAGGAGATACAGAGATTCAGTTGTAAACAGACCAAAGTTTTATAGCACACATGAGTTTCAGTTTGAGCTAATTTCTAAAATTGAAAACAATATTCGCAATAGCTGAATCTCTAAAATTGAAAACACTAAAAATAAATGAAACACAACACTCATACACGTAGCCAAAGCTTTCTGAACTAAACTGAACTAAATTAAACCTCAGACTACAATACAGGAACAAGCACCATTCTAAGGTCACAGTAGCAGCATAGAAAGGGCAAAGCTACATAATACACACTAAGCATCAAGTAAATCAGCCAATGGCATTCACTAGGGATCTCACATTCCAAAGAATGTTTGAACTTTGAAACACCAGATACTGAATCAGACATTGAGGTTGGGAAACAGGCCCTCTACTATTAGTTGAGGAGCAATAATCAACTCAACATAGAGAGGAAAAAGATTGAAAGAGATATTACTAAGCAGCAACTGGACCGGTCATTGAAATAACAAAGAGTAAGAAACGCAAATTATATGATAACTATGCCAACAAAGGTCAGTGCCATTACAACTACGTCTTGTTGTCTGCACAGCCCCATATTCTAGGATACATTACACACATAGTGTAATATACTATCCAGAATTCCAGATCCAGCTGCATTTATAAATATGCATCTCCAGCTGCATTTATAAATATGCATCTTCAGATTCCAGGGGCCATCCCGTTAATTAGGTTGCAGCTTCATTCAAAACATGATTGGCAGCACAACACTACAGATAGTGTTGACACTGTACTCAACCTACTCCATCACTCTAGTCTCCACTCTCCGGTAGACGAACGAACAGCGGCATGCAGGTACCAATAATGGTGGCCTGACCTCTCCTAATCCCGTTTTGAGGGGAAAAATGATACAATGATCACTGAAAATTGTGAAACCACACATGCCATAGCTGATTCTCATTCTCTGATGGCTCCGCTACACCATGCATCTAATAAGTGGCATCACTCTCAGGCTGCCAGTTCATGTGCTTTAATTTATTATTAGGGAAGGAGAAGTAGATACATCGACAATGACATGCTATCAACCTCTGACGCTTTATTTGCCGTGCAATCATGACAGCGTCGTCGTACGAGGATCACTGATGACCCATCAAACCACGCTTCTCAGAGAACTGAGAGGCAAAGCTGCACGTCACAAAGAACTGCAGGATCGAGTTTGTTCTTGCCAACCTTCAATGCAAAGACACCACTCTTTCTGGCCCCTTTGCTCTGCCGTCTATTAGTACTCAATTATTTACATCTGAAATTGATTGGAAACACGGATTGAAATGAGCAAATCCAAAACCAAATTACCAAGAAATCCAAATATGCACAAATCTTTCCATCGGATTGTTAGCCGAAGACCAACAGCAACGTACCTCCCCCACGTGTGGGATCTCCCTTGGTGGAGGAACCAGGAGCAGTCGCCGCTAGGGCCAGAGGCCTCTACCGGTCGCAATTAGCAGCGAAGGTCTCGGACATTCTGTCGATGGATGGGGGATGGGGGATGCCGATGCAACAGCAACACAAACTACGACGCCCCGACTGCCACGACAACCTAGCATCGCCGAACAACCTCACCCGAGCACAACACAAGTCGCCCCAAAAATCACCGGCGCACAACAAAAAACTCGCTCATCCATACATCACAGCACACCCCCTGCAAAAATGCGAACCAAAACACCACCAATCTCTAACCCTATGACCTCCTCGAGCTACCAATCGTGCTAATCGAGCACACATCCAGAAAGGGGTCCGATACGAGCAACAAAAGAGCAGGCAGGTACAAAGACAAAGAACAGAGAGCGACCACGCACCAGAGGAGGTCTGATGTCGCCGAGGGTGCTCGGAGACCTCCGATAGCGTCCGCAACGAGGATCCACAACTCCGCCGGAGCAATCGCCGCGCCGCGACGAGCTCGAGGAAATCGCCCCCAATCCTCTTCCCAGGACGCGCGCTTCAAGGAATACGAACAGTGTCCGAATATGGTGGATGATAACGGGTAATGGATAGCAACCGATTGGACAAAAAAAACCAATAGATAGCTCCATGGCGCACAAATCTTCAAGCACGATCCACACGTCGCCTGAAAAGAAGTCGCATTTCAGGCGACTGCAGTATAGGAAAAGTGCTAAAATATAGCTTGTTTGAATGAGATTGTCATTGTCAGGTTCTCAAAGAGTCCACCTCAATCCAAACATGGCCAAAACTACTGCAACAATCATGTGTTTGGTTGAAAACTGAACGAAAACTTATATAAATAAATAAATGAAGAATAACACCGTCGTGCGCATCTTCTCCGGCTGGCTCTGCGATCATAATTCGGCGATACGAAGATCGGCGAGAAAATTCATAACCCCTGAACCCAAGCAGCCGAAGCTTGTCTGGTACTATTTTCTTCTTGCCTGAGCGCGTGCCATTCTTCTTATACGTATATACTACAGTACAATACGTGTGTTTGCAATCTCTTCCTTATACTTGCATGGTTTAGATTAGATGGTCCATCCTCGTTCAACGAAGGATCCGGGTTCAGGTCACAATAAAGACGGCTCTAGTAATTCTCCGCTGACCCGTCCCCATCGTCGACAATACCAGAAGCCACCATTCAGGCCACCGCAGTCCAATGCTCCAGCCAACGTACCTTCAGTCATACATATGTAATATGTTCGATTACAGTACTACTACGTGGGTGATGGAACAGTGTGTAATGTAATACGGTCAGGCTGTACGTCCGGCCCTAGGTCCGACGCTGCTCCCCGCGTCCTACGTCGGCTCCGTTCCGCATGCCCCATCCGCTCGGATTCTGCGCCGCACGTCCCCACGTGGGGCCACGTCGCCTATCCCCACCCGGGCCCACGTCGCCCGTCCCCACGTCGTCCGAACATCATTAGCATCGAGAAGAGGAGACACTGAGGTAAGGTAACAGAAGACGAGGAGGGAGATGCAACACCTGATCCACTTTTGAAACATCCAAATTAAACATTTGCAACATACGTTCGAAAACAGTTGAAACACTTGCAATATACGCTGAAACACTTGTAAAAACACCTGAAAACGCTTGAAAAGCATTGCAAAATATATGCAAAATACAGATAAAACACGTGCAACGTATGTGTAAAACAAGTGCAACATTCAGATAAACACACTTGCAACATACGTCTGCAAAAACAACTAAAACATTGGAAACAAAAGCTTGCAACTTACGTTACAACCATTGCAACGTCAACATGAAATACTTGCATCATCCAGATGAAACCTCTGAAACACTTGAAATATACTCTTGCAACATGCGTTTCCAGTGCGTAATGTCACCTTACTGCTTGAATGAACATGGAGCTCGATGCCATTGCGGCACATGGAGCTCGCCAGTGCGCCCCTGGGCGAGGACCTGCTCGGCTGCTTGGGTGAGCACCTGCGTGAGCCGTGCAAGCACCCGTAGGCGAGCACCTGCTCCGCGGCCTGGGCCAGCGCGCCCTGGGCGCCGCGGGGGATGGCGGCGGCGGCGCGCCAGAGTGGCCTGGCAGGGTTGGCGATTGAGCGCTGTGCCTCGGAGGTGGTCGCGCGCCGCGCCTGGCTGGGCCAGCGGATATGAGCAAGTGACTGGATAGGAACAAGTATGTGTACAAGCTGATTTTTTTTATTTAGGAACGGAGGAGCGGGGGGTCTTGGACTGGCGTCGCGCGGCTCACCAACGGAGTGTCCTGCTGCCCAGACGCCTAGTTCCTAGCGTTAGCGAATGTAATAATAGATGGAAAAATAAAAAGCATTTTAGGTGAAATTATCGCATCTAAAGGTATTTGGTCTAGTGGTATGATTCTAGCTTAGGGTGTGAGATGCCTGAGTTCAATTTCTGGAATGCCCCTATTTTCGTATATTTCCTTTTTTTCTTATTATTATTATTATTATTATTATTATTATTATTATTATTATTATTATTATTATTATTAATTTCCCACCGTCCCACCACGAAGACTCTCGATAGTTTTGTTTAAATTTTGATTTTGTTTTTTCGTATTTTAATCTCCCACGAGACTCTCGTGGAGACTGGCACTGGCCCTCGTCCTGTAATGGTAGTACTGGCGTAGTGCCACTGATGCACGATGATGAAAACGATTCTGAAACTCGTGGATCATGGAGACTGGAGAGCCACTTGTGCAAATTGACATGGCAAGGCATCACAAATAATCAATGGAGTTGGTGGTCTTGACACGGACCGGTGGGCCAACTTAAATAAAAAGTTTTACTACTACTCCGGCAGATCAGATCAGGTGTGTTTTCCATCCAAACGGGGGAAAAAATAGCATCAGATTAGGTGACATGGCATCTCCACGCTGCTCACCTTGAGGCTTGAGCTGCTGCCTGCCTGCCCACTTGGAGAGTGAAAGTCCGGAGCAAGAGCAACCAACCACCACCTCTCTGTCTCCGCTTGCCCAGTCCGGCTTCGCTCGCCAATCGGTCAACAGCCCATGGCCTCCAGCACCGTACCACTGCTGGCGCTCGCCGTCCTCTCCCTCTCCTTCCTGCACCTCTCTCTCTCCCCGCCTCGTCGCACCCGCTCCCGCTGCAAGTGGCTGCGGCGGCGGCAAGGGGAGGCGAGGCGTCCGAGCCCGACGATGCTGCCGCCGTGACGCTGGCGCTGGCGCGGCGCGCGTGCACGTACACGGTGCAGATCAAGACGAGCTGCTCGGCCCCGCGGAGCTCCGCGGACGCGTCGAGCCTCGTGTTCGGTGACGCGTACCGCAACGAGGTGTACGCGGCGCGGTTGACGCCGCGGGACGGGTTCGAGCGCTGCGCCACGGACACGTTCGAGGTCGCTGGCCCCTGCGGCTACGGCGTGTGCTACCTCTACCTCCGCCGGTCGGGCCGCGCCGGGTGGACGCCCGAGTGGGTCAGGGTGTACGAGCCCACGACGTCCGGCACGCCCTCCACCTTCTACTACGGCGATCCGCTCCCCGACGGCGTCTGGTACGGCTTGGACCGCTGCGTCGCCGCCGGAGCCGGCGCCGGCGCCTCCTCCGAGCCTGGTGCCGCGGCGCAGGCGCTGTGACGGACGCCGCCGGACGGGTTGCCTCTCCACGCGGTGGGCGCGGGAGCAGAATGCCGTCACTCGTGGCGGTCGTGCTGCCGTGTGATGCGATGACTGCTCCGGCACGGCGCGTCTGTTTGTGACTAAGTATTCGTATTCATTTGCGTCGCTATTAGTAGTAGTTTGTTTAATTGTTACAGTACGGGTGGATTACGTGTACGTGCCAAAATAAGAGTCCTGCTCGGATGGATCTATGTAGCACTATTATATATAGCAATAAAACCGATCCAAGAGATTTGTTACTGCGTGAGGAGTATCTATTACCTCGTGTGAATGGCACTGAATTCGGCAACGATTTTTTTTCATATGGTAAGCTCAGCCTAATTAGTCTGATTAGTTCCCTTCCTTTGTGGTATACGAGTGTAGTAAAACTTTCTATGTAAATGCGATTTTAGTTGTGCCATATATTCTAATGACTAGCTGATAGGTCCTCAATGCGTGCATTCCTTTACCTTCACACGTAACCATGGTGGGTGTCGTTCTGTCAATCATTAGCTTTTTTTATGATTATTTTTCTGGCGTTCTAACCAGCCATGTTTCATCATGATGAAGACGACTGCAGTAAGGCATACCTTCATCATGTTGCTTGTATTGGCCATTCAATCGGCACAGTGCCACCAACACAAATACAACGTCGTTAACTTCCATGCGGCTGCGGATGGCAAGACAGATGATTCGCAGGTAACAGCAGCCAACGCCAATTTTTTTTGAAGGTTGCAACAACGCCAAAAAAAATTGCATTGCTTCTTGTATTTCTGATCTCCCTCTCGGTCGTCTTCGCTGCCAAAAGGCATTCTTGGCGACATGGCAAGCGGCTTGCAGCGATCAGGCCAGGCCAATCATGGTCATACCGAGAAGAAGGACATTCTTGTTGAGCGAGGTCACATTTCAGGGTCCCTGCAAGTCACCGATCACCATACAGGTAACAACCATCCCAAGATTGTCATCCTGTATCCATATGTTTTGTACACAGCAAACAAGAAGCACGGGATCTGAACTTGTAGTCTGCAGCTGGATGGCAATGTTGTAGCACCAAACCACATTTGGACGACTGAACAAACCAACCTCCTGACCTTCCACGCAGTCGACAACTTAACATTGGATGGGAATGGCGAGATCGATGGCCAAGGTGCCATCTGGTGGGATTGCTATAACCATAAGGTAGGCTTAGCTTCATCATATAGCACTTTGTTTTTTTCTCTCTCTCTCTCTGATCCTTGAGAATAATCTGATTTGTTTCTCATTTTTTCACAGAGATGCAAAACCCGGCCTATTGTAAGTAGACACAATTTACCCTTTAATTCAGTCTCAAACTAGCTAGTCAGGCAGACAAATTAATGTAAGTGTGGTGCTGACGTTGGGTTCATGTGAATCAGTTGCTGGGCTTCTCTTTGTGCAACGATCTATGGGTCAGAAGGATACGTCTGAAGAACAGTGCAGACAAGCACATGACCCTGTTCCAGTGCAACCAGGCGCTCGTGGACAGTGTCTCCATCACTGCGCCAGCTGATAGCCCCAACACAGACGGCATTACTGTGGCGTCGTCGAACAGCACCATCATCTCCAACTGTTCTATCCAAAGCGGTAAAAAAACACTTCGTTTGTGTACAAGTACACCAGTGCAATATATGTAACTGAACTGACAATAAGCACACAAACAGACGAATAATGCGCATGAATGCTAACATTGGGCAAATGCAGGAGATGACTGTGTATCAATCCTATCACACACAAAAAATGTTACCGTCACTCACAGCACATGCGGTCCTGGTCATGGTATCAGGTAAGAATGCATATACACTAATAGAGGCATCTACTAATAACTGAACATCTTATTCTCTAGTAATATATGTACTGAGCTCAACTTCTGATCTTATGTAGTGTGGGAAGCCTCGGAAAATCTGAGAGAGCGAAGGTGGAACAAATTGTAGTAACTAATTGCAGCTTTGTTGGAACTATGAATGGTGTGAGGATAAAATCCTGGCAGGTAATTAGGACTCAGGGTTAATGAGTTTGTAATGAGGTTGCACTGCATACACTCTCTAGATATGCTTGCTGCAAACCATATGCCACGCCAGAGCAATGCCCTCTAATGCATGAAGCTATGAATGCAGGGAGGGAAGGGATATGCAAAAGGATTCCTTTTTGCAAGCCTCAACATGACAGAAGTTCGGTATCCTATTGTCATCGACCAGTTCTACTGCCCGCAAGGAAATTGTCCTACAAAGGTGAGCCATACTAAAAACGTTGTCATGCTTATCACTCAGATTTGTTGTCTAAAAGACAAACAAAAGTTGAAATGTATCAGCACTTTACTGTCTTTGTAGCCTGGTGGCGTGGCAATAAGCGATGCAAAATTTATTGACATCCAAGGGACATCCTCCGAGCAAGAAGCCATCAAATTATTATGCAGCCAAAGTGTTCATTGCCATGGTATATATCTCAGTAACGTTAACCTTTCTTGGGTGAAACATACTGCCCCAGCAAACGCAACCATTCTGAATGCCCATGGAACAACTGAGGGCATGGTGGTACCAAGAATACAGTTTTCACAGCCTTTGTAGCTAGTATGCCCTTCATTGCTATCACTTACAAGGAGCATAGAGCTAGTTTTTTTTAGATGACTAAAACTACGCAACCATAGATGTTCATGTTACATCATGTATGCAAATTATTGATATCTAATCATATAAGCTAAGTATCAAGATCTCATAGCAGCAATTACAGTATCTCACATGCTTCTGTTTCGGAGCGGCCAAACATGGCGTACCTGTTGTTCGCAACATTATCGTACATGAAGTCCCTCAAGAACCTAATTATCATCACATTTTTGTTGTAGAATTGATTAATTTGTAGCGCAAAACATAAAATGCACAAATTAAGCTGAGCAGCAGAGGAGGGAGCTTACAGAGGGAAAAAGTTGAGGAAGATGGCAAGCTGCGGGAAGGGCAGGTTGAGGTACTCCATTATCCTCAGCACTGCTTCAGACTTGATGAAAGACCTGCAAATTTCATGATAAGATTAGCACTTCATCATACATAATATGATAATAATAACATAAACTAGCAATCAGTAGTAATCAACAACTGTTGAAGGAAGCCTATGGTTGGCAACCTGTCTTTCTCGACGAGAACAACACTGGAGATGTCGTCAGGGGACCTCCCTGACCTCTGCAGGAGCTTCCTTCCGGACTCGCTCTGCAGCGGCACGTACCTGATGCTCCTGTTCGTTGGATTTGCAAACCCATCAGAACGTATCAGAAACTGAATCGCTGTTGCCGATCGACTGATGAGTAGCACACCCAGCTGTGTGCTGTGACTGAGAATTGAGCAGGGCGGCCATACCTGTTGGGGTCGTGCTCCCGCACGAACCGGACGCCCCCGTTGCAGAGGTTGCAGACGCCTGCACACACAGAGCACGGCAGTTGGCAGATTAGGAGATTTCCCAAGACGAGAGCGGAGAGGGAGCAAGGGCTTGGGTGGGCACCGTCGAAGAGCATGATGGGCCTGGTGTCGGAGGGCTGGAAGAACTCGGCGTCCGTGGCCGCCTTGATGGACCCGCCGCCGGCAACTGCGGCCACCTGCAACCTCGGCCACCGCGCTCTTCGTGCGGCTTGGGGCTGCTGCGGCAGGTGGCCGTGCCGTCGGTGGAGCTGGAACTGCAGCGTGGGTGACGTATAGTAGCAGGAGGAGCACTGCCCGGCGATTGCCATCGCCCTCGCCTCCTCCGCTCGGCTGCGAAGCGCTGAGCTTGAGAACAGTGCGTTAGCCTACAGGCTACAGGTGTCTAGAGTCTAGACTCCCGGAGAGGGGATGAACTGGTGGTGACCACCAGCACCACACGAAACTAGTGCGCCTTGGGCTTCAACGTGGCGCAGCAAGTCCCAGGCCGCTCATAAATTGGTCCGGGTTAGAAAGAGAAGCATAGCCTTCGCTTGGCTGGTTCGTATCGTTGCTGGTTTATTTATGTAAGAGAGAAGTGCTGGCTGGTTTATGTGAACAGTGTCCATGTGAGGGGGCTGGCCAGCACAGCCAGCCAACCAGCCCCAGCCGAACGAGCTGACCCGTCTCGAACATGTGAATTTGGGTTAGTTCCATGTACAGTAAATTTCTTGGGTTTCTAAGTTCGGAAACGCCACATGTACGTCCGACGGATCGCACAATCACTGACCGTCCTTTTTACCCTGTCCGTATGTTTATTAAAAAATAATCTTATCACTCGCTTCTTCCTCTCCATCTTTATCCCTTTCGCACTCGCGCGCTATCCCACCCCGACGCGTGGCCATGGCTACCTCCCTGGTCGGCGGCGGCGCCCTCCCCTACCTAGTGTCATCCTCCCTCCACCCCGACGGATCCTTCCCCCATCCTGACGTCCTCACCCACCGGGAGCCCCCAATGTCCGTAGATTAGGTGGCCCTCTCCCCCACCCCGCCCGAGATCCATGGAGGTGGCATGGTGGTGTTGCAGGGGAGTTGGCGGCTCTCCCCCAACCCGGCGCGACGCCCTCCTCACCCCCTGTGACGCCCTCTCTCCTCTGGTGACCGAGCTCCCCCCACCCCGGTGGCCATGGCGCTCCCCGCCCCCATGCCCCTCCGTCGCCGCCGAGCTAAGCCCATTGCTGGTGGTGCTGGTGCTCGCGCGCTGTTGGTGTTGGTGCTAGTGGCGCTCGCGTGCAGCCGCTCTTCGCTGGCTCTCACCACGTCGCCCGGAATCGACCGGCCTAGGCCTCTCTCCCCCCTATGTTGTAAATGTATATTTCACGTGTTTCAGACGTTCCAGAGGTATGTTGCAATTATTTCATAGATGTTGCAAAAATAGATCGGGGGATGTTGCATATGTTGTAAGTGTTTCAGAGGCATGTTGCAAGCGTTTGTTTAAAATATTTTATATATTTCAGATGCATGTTGAAAGTGTTTATATAGACGTTGCATATGTTTCAGTGGTTGGACACATATGTTGCAAGCGTCTATTTAAAATGTTTCAGACTTACGTTGCAAGTGTTCATCTGGATGTTGCATATGTTGCAGTAACTATACGCATACGTTGCAAACGTATATTGCAAATATTTTACCTATTTTCATACATATGTCACAGAAGTGCTTGGAAGGAGTGGGCAGAGAGGCGGTTCCCACGGACGCACGCGGTCCGCGCGGGATGCGAAGCAGTTGTGTGTGGTCGTGGTCCCCACCTCAAGTACAACAGTCACATGCGGGGCACGGGTAGCATTCTGGGCGGACGCTGCAGGCGGACAGGCGCGAGCGTCCAGAGCAGCGTGGGCAGGCGTGCGGGGAGGCGTCCGACGGAATCCATCCCTCCATCCCCATCGGACGTCCAGACTTTGGCCAAATGATCCCAATACATGCATAAATATTCAGCCTTTGCAGACATTAGTTCAGGACGGCACCATGGTCTGTCTAGTCAAAAAAGCAGAAAGCACAGCCATATTTTGCTAGGAGAACGTTGGACCGGCAAAACATACATAGCCAAAGAAACAAATGAACTAGATGTCCAAAATGTTAAGAAACAACCAACATCCATCCATCAATCCATGAATTTGCAGACACTGCCATGGTTTCATGGATTGATGTAGTTGAGCAAGAACGCATGCCATCTCTCATGAGTCATGCACACGGTATTAAATTAAACAACATTAACAGAGCACAACAACAGTCGCTTGGCGTCCGTACTGTTTTCAAGCCTGTTCTTCACCATCTTCCACTTCTCCCCTCTCTTCAGCAGCAGCAGCCATCAACTCATCAAATTTGTCACTCTTTCCCAAAATTATCTCAATCTGAGGGAGTTGAGGTTTATGTCAGTTCAACTCACAGGAAAAGAAGAATTGCATACAGTTAAAATAGAATGACAAAAATTCACAAACACAGTGAACAGCTCTCATTAGTAAGTACTGAATTAAGGGTATAGTCTTCTCTGACCTTGGCCTTTTGGAATGGACGCCCTCTTGTTTCGTCGTTTATTTCAACAGTAGATGTCCTAATCTCTATGTAGGTTAATACATCAAGGGAAGATTCAGAGCGGGAAATGTATGAATCATGTGAGCCATAACAATACACAGGAGAGATAATCTACAAGACAAGGAGGGCCCAAGGTCTCACTCTTTTCAACAGCAAATCCATTGTTCTTCAGAATTTCTGCCACGGTCACAACTGTCGCTATGGCTGGAAACAGAATAATCAACTTCGTTAGCGTAGCCTCAAACAGTACACTGAAGCAGAAATTTTGAATTGGAAATCTTTGTATGTTTTAAAGAAAAAGTAGCATTGATGCAGCAAATAAATCACACAGAGATCCCAAATGAGGCTTAAGTTATGTGTCCAGTAAGAAACAAATATCAAAACACAGACTAAGAGCATCTCCAAGAGTACTCTGTACCCCTATCCAAACTCCTATACTTAAATTCAAGGTGTATGGAGCAAAAACAACCATTCAACAGCCACCCTATATCAACTCCTATGTTTAGTTGCATCCTAAATAACCTCTCCTCCCCCTCAAATATGGGGTAGTCAGTCCTCCCTGTGTTTGGGTTTTCACACCGTTTTACCCAGACGCAGCTCCTACCCGCCAAATCCCAGCACCCTCTCGCGTAGAAAATCGTCACCGTGTAGCCCTCTCACATAAGCCGCCAAGCACAGCCCGCCCCGCACAGGCGCACACGCCTTCCATCCAGCACTGCCTGTCCGTCCTAGGTCCTACACCACTTCTGTTCTGCTGGCTGTTCCTTCTCGCATCTAGATGATCGCGCCCAGTGATCGATGCTAGAGGGAAGCAAGATTAATGAAAATCGTGGGTCCATATTGCTTATGTGGCGTGTTCAAAATTTAGGGTTTTAGATATAGGGGAACTGCTATTGAAGTGAAAGATTTAGAAGGGATAAATGTTTAGTCTACATGAGAAAATAGGGGTCCAAATTTAGGATCACTCTCGGAGCTGCTCTAAGAGCACGAACAGTCAGGAATCTACTTAAAATGCAAGCGAACTTTCCGTAATAAGACTGGTTGGGTTTTGCAACAGATGATTATGTTTTCTTTTTCAGCATCTCTAATGAGTAATGAATACTTCGAATACAGGAGATTGCAAATAAAAAATACACACAACTAAATTACGAAACCCCCAAAGTATCTCAACATTGTTCTTAAGGTGATAAGGCGAGGCATGGTGATAGACCACCTTCTAATCGCCTAAGCGATGCCTAGGCATTCACAAGGCGACATATACCAATCTGAGAAACAGCAAGAGAGCAGGATGGAAGAAGAAAAGGAAAAGGAAAAAAGAAAAAGGAGAAGGAAGGGGGCAGGGGACGTAAGGGGCTGTCCCAGCCCACTAGCCACCCTATATAACCATCCCCTGACTTGCCTATAGGGTTGCCCTACCTCCCTGATTCATTCAGCGCCACCACTCGTCCGCTCTCAGCATCGCCGCTCGTTTCCCATCTCCATTTGCTGCCTGCAACTCCTCCGCTCCTCCTCCCTGCTACTTCTCGGGCCCTCGTGAGCTGCGCGCTCTCAGATCAACTGAGCTTCTGCTCAGGTCAAGGTCTATCATGCCTCAATTGACAAGAGCATGTTGCTGGCCAGCCACCGGCACCGGAGCTATCAGGAATGACAGCAGTGGCAGCTGCTGGGCCTTGTTGGTTGGTTTCCCTTCCCTTCTTCCCCATTGCTCCCCACCTCTTGCTGATTTTTAGTTAGGCAACAGGGATGCCCGTCAATTTTTAAGTGCCTAGACGCCTAGGCGATGCCTTGAAAACCATGGTTATCAAGCAAACCCCAAGTTTAGTGTCTGTCTGGAGCATGATGGCCATCTAATAACAACAGTGCATTGCATATCACTTCTGACTCAAACTTGGCAAGTTTTTTTTTTTTTTTTTTTTAATACAATAAATTTGGCAAGTTGCATGACTGAATTCTAAGCTGTGCTCTGCTGTCACAAGGCAAATGCTGGCTAGTAATACTAAGGGCCAGTTTGGTAGAGCTCCAGGTCCTCCTATAATGGCTTCAGATTTAGCTCCTCTCGTGGAGTAGCCTCTCTGGTAGAGCCAAAGCACTTTGTAAAAAATATTTGACAAAACAGCTTCGGAGAGTATTTTTTGGCTCTGGCTCCTTAATGGATTCAGAATCGAAGGGGTTTTTTTTTTTAACCCCGTTTGGTAGGGTTTGAGAAGCCGGAGCGGAGCCAGAGCCCTTTTATAAGCCCTAGCAAAGGGACCCTAACTGCCACATAAGTTAGGGTTTTAGCAATAACCAACACAGATCCAACATTGAGAAACATAAAGAAAACAACCACACGCCGCATTCTGCATCTTGCACATCATATTATGTCGGCATACTTAATAACAGACCAAATTCGCGGAGAAGAGGCATTACATGAATGACAAGCGACCATGCCTAAATTTAACTCCACAATTAATAATACATAAATAAATAAATCAGAAAGAAGGGCGAAGGATTGTTACAGGGACGCACCCATTCCAAGAGCTGATAGCTCAACATCGCCGTGCTGTTGCATATATCTCTGCACAGACCGAAGCAACCAAATCAGTCAAGAACCGGAAGCGGGTGGGCAGGAATATCACGGAAGGAGGCGGCGCGTAGAAAGGGGCAACCGTACCTTGGCGAGGTTGACGTAAAAAGAAGAGGGGTTTCTTGGTGTTGGACACCTGGATGCGGTTGCTGCTGCCGCCGCCGCCCCTCCTCTGCCCCTCTCCGCCTGAGGCCGCCGCCGCATCTCCGGCGACGGCGAGGTTCTTCACGCCCTCGGTGATCTCCTCCACCACCATGGTCGGTAGCTATCTAGCACGCCGCGCCGCGCCGCAACCGGATCGATGGGGTTGGTCGAGGTCGACGACTCCTGAGGTTTTCCTCTTTCCTCTTCCGGTGGCGCACCTCCCCTTCTCTCGCGTCTTCTCGGCGTTGCGGCGGGTGCTTAGTAGTGGTAGGGAAACGAGGGGCGCGGAGAGGCCCGGCCCGACGCCCCCGCGCGTGGGTGAAGGTGCGTCGTGGGCTTGATGGATCCGGCGATGGGACGTCTCGGCCCAGCCTCCTTGCCGACGATTCAAGCAGCCCAAGCGGAAGCAGCCACGCAGAGGATAGCGGTCCAATTGCCTGGCGACGTTAAGGTTCCGCTTCGACGCGGCGGCCCGCAGCTCATCCTAAAACCGATTGGTGGTTGGTGCATGCAGCATGCCATCTGTCTCGTTTGGCTTGAGCACCAACCAGCTCCCGGCGCGGAGTTGGGCGAGACCAAGGACACCAAGCTCCCATCCCAACTCGTGGAAGCTGTGTCAATGGCAGTTGCACGAACAAATTAAGGTCTTGTTTGGATTTAACGGCGTAAAGTTTGGTGGCTAAATTTTAGACACTTTATCTCTTGAGGCTCCAAACACAAGATCTAAATTGTTAACTAAAGTTTAGTCAACTTCACAAAAACTTTAGGGTGTCTTCGGTTGTCAAATAATGTGATTGATGAGTGAACCCTGTACCCCATCCCTACATCCACTGGGCCTGGCTGGCCAATGAAGTTTGATTTGAGCTGCTCCCCAGAGTCAGCACTACTAGAGAACAGACTTTAGAACGATGTCCCAATTTGGCTTCAGTCTCGACATTTTTTTGCCCCCGGGACTAGAGAGGCCTTTAGTCCCGGTTGGTGTCTCCAACCGGGACTAAAGGTCCCTGCCCAACGGCTACTGCGCTCGACCGGGAGTAAAGGTGATACTCCCGGTTGGAGCCACCAACCGGGACTAAAAGTCCTCCAACCTTTAGTCCCGGTTGGTAATACCAACCCAGACTAAAGGTAGACCCTTTAGTCCCGGTTGGTAACACCAACCCGGACTAAAGGACCCTTTAGTCCCGGTTGGTAACACCAATCGGGACTAAAGGTCCCCCGATGGGTTAGTTCAAAAGGAAAGCATCATATCCATTGGTAGATGTGTTGTGTAGGTGGGGTGGTAAGCTACGCGCAAGGCAGTGCATGAGGTCTTGGGTTTGAATCTCACGGGGCGCAGCGGTGGGAGGCATTATTTTTTTTAAAGCTGGGAGGATCTTTAGTCCCGGTCGTGGCAAACCGGGACTAAAGAACAACACCTTTCGTCCCGGATTGCTAGTCCCGGTTGAGAAACCGGGAGTAGAGCTAGTTCCCAACCGGGACTAGATCTCATTTATGTAGTAGTGCAGGATCCCACCATATATTGCATGAATGGGGCAGGGTTGCAACCATGAAAATAGGGATATCCAAACAGACTTCTTTTGGAGCCCACCATATATTGCATGAATGGGGCAGGGTTGCAACAATGAAAATAGGGATATCCAAACATACTTCTTTTGGAGCGTATACGACTGAACACATACGGGATGGTGGGAGCTATGTAACCAAACAAGTCCCTGGACCACACAAGTGAGCTAAAATGGTTTAAAATTTTAGTCTTGAACTTTAGCCAACTAAACTTTAGATTAGAGAATTCCAACATGCCATAATTGGATCTTCTATTTGGTTCTGAAACAAAATTCCCTGTCCAAGTTTGTTACAAAATTGAACTTTATTTCCAAACTCAGTTGGCGTTATGAGTATATACATAGCTAACACTCGATGACCCCAAGTAGACTATTTGGTGTTGAGAGGAAGGAAGAGGAGAGAACTTTGCCCAGCTCAGCTAGCCTACTATGTATTTAAGGGTATTCATCAGTTCACAATATCTAAATTTTTTGCCAAAAACGTTTGTAAATATAGTGTATACATGTATTTGTATTGAAAAAAGAAGAAAAAAGGCAAAATAAATATAATGTCAAGAATTCAACCTAAAACATGTATTCAACTGCTGCTTTTCCACCCCCTCGATGGCCCGACAAAGCTTAGCGGCATGTGGCCCAACTTCTCCCCCACCATGCACCACACACGGGCACACTGCAACTCCGCAAGTCTATCGGTGCTCCTCAAGCGCTTGCGCTCACTCAGTCGCTCCTTTTCTCTCATGTTTTCTTCCTCGACCCCAAACTCTAGCGTCTACCGATGGCGGCGGTAGAACAGCGGACTCTAGCACTGACAGGGCACGTTGGCATGAGGCACCAGAAGCAAAATTTATGCTAAATATTTGTGGTTCATATAGAGCACAAACTTGGGTTAGTTTATACTTGATTTAAAATACCAAATTGTAGAACTAATTTTACTATTGCTTACCAAATTACTAATGGATTTAATCGATTTGCATATGAAAATTTTAGTGTTATCCAGTGACTAAAGTTTAGGAGGTGTCACATCGGGTATTCGGATACTAATTAGAAGGACTAAACATGAGCTAATCATAAAACTAATTACAAAAGCCGTGACTAATTCGCGAGACTAATCTATTAAGCCTAATTAATCCATCATTAGCACATGTTTTCCGTAGCACCACATTGTTAAATCATGGACTAATTAGACTTCATAGATTCGTCTCGCAAATTAGTCTCAATCTGTGCAATTAGTTTTATAATTAGTCTATGTTTAATACTCTAAATTAGTGTCAAACATCTGATGTGACAGAGACTCAAGTTTAGGAGGTGGGAACCAAACACCCCCTTACATACCTATAAAATTTTAGGTTCGTTATTGGAATTTTGATTGTCAAAAAAATATGAATTGTTTTCACAATTTTGAATACCCATGTTGAAAATCCTGGACCCACCACTGCTACTAGCCTGACTTGGTTGGCATGAGCAACGAGACCTTTGCCCCGCAAGGTGAGTCAATTTGGCTCTTTGACGGGCTAGAAAAAAAAATCTTTCCTCACAAGCTCCAAGGTACTTAAAAAAAAGGTACTTAAATAAAGCACCGAAACAAACCAGAAGCTTGCTCTATATCCTTGCTTGGTAAAACCACACGATGATGAGTAGAGAAACCAAAGAAAGCAGCCTCAAGATTGATGTCAGTGAAGACATGCCTTGCATGTGTCCACAACGGCGATATCATCCGTTTCGTAGGGAGGCGTGTGCACCAACGTGGCATTCCGTCAAATCGTCATCATCTGGGTCTGGTGGCTAGCTAGCTGGACGTGCATCACTAGTGCATGCATGCGAGGGCTCCATACCTTGAGTGCACCACTACTATATGCGTGTTCTGTATTATTGTGCCATATGTAAATATATACTTATAAAAATTCCAAAAGTGAGTGATCATGAGTCATATATATATATATATATATATATATATATATATATATATATATATATATATATATATATATATATATATATATACACACACATATACATATACACATATACATACGGTAAGGCTATTCTACAGCTGGCCACAGAATAACTTATTCTATGGCCACCTTGATTTACGATAATGACAATACATATTTACGATACATGTGTTACTATAATTCAAGATGATACTTACCGTAATGCTATAGTAAATCACTTATGATGGAGTTACCATAATCTCATAAATTAGTATAATAATTATCGTAATTCAAAGTGGCCACAGAATAACTTATTCTGCGGCCAGCTACAAAACATATATATATATATATATATATATATATATATATATATATATATATGTGTGTGTGTGTGTGTGTGTGTGTTTTCATGCATCCCAAGCTTATTCCACGATTATTACGCCAATGTATATAAATAAATACTCTGTCATCATTCCAAGTCAAATTGAAGGTAACATCACCGGTGTGCTTGTCCTATAGGCGGCCTGTTAGCAGCTTAATTGGGATATATATATATGGACTAGTACGTACTAATAAGTGCTCCACTTGTTTTTTGATCGGATAAGTGCTCCACTTGTGACATGCTCATCTGATATGGTGGCCATTATGGGTAAGTACACATGTTATGACATGCTCCACATGTTATGGCATGCTCCACATGTTATGGCATGCTACCGGGTGTTGACATGGACGACACTTCATGTGGAGGCCCCATGTTAGATTCATCTCTTTCTCACGTGGTTGCTTGCGACCCACCATGCTGGCTCCCCAACTTTTTCTTCCTCCTCGCCTCATGATCTCCTTCCTCTTCACGTCCATGCCTCACCCTATAGTATTAGCAACAACTAGATGAGCAGGCTCTCATTTGCTGACAAAGGGGGAGAGGGGAGGTGGATCCGACATGTGGGCCTCACATGTCAATCCACGATAATGGACAATCAATGCATATTGCCATGTCAGCGCACGAAGCAGGTCAGGTCCCATTTAAACTCGAATGACGCCCGGAGTCAAGTTTAGGGACCAAAAAATAACATCCTCGACCTATATAACATGTAGATCTAAGAAATTTAGGGACCCCAAAATAACATTTCTTGAGCTGGTGGGCCAGGATGACACTCCCTTCTAAGTTTGAGGACAACACTCATGGATTTTACCCTAAATTACAACAAATTGTGCACCACAAAGGTTAAGTATAAAGATTCACAGCCTAATCGCTGGGGCTGGCTGGGCTGGCTAGGCTGGCTGGGCTGGCTCACATGTGCACTGTTCACACGAACCAGTCAGCAGTACTTCTCTCTCACATAAACGAACCAGCAATGATACGAACCAGCCAACCGAACAGGCTGTCAAACAATAATAGATCTTTAGATTAATGAAGTCATCACAGACATACGTTGCCGATGAACATGTATCACTAAATAAATAGTCGTACTAAGCTAGTGAGACACACGAGAGACGTCAACTTAAACCTTACAGTTTGATCTCTGATAAGTGGTGATATACTGTTACTTCTTTTCTATTATAAGTTGCCTTTGTCATCCTCGGAGAGGTACAAGACATACAAGACGCGAAGTACCATC